TTTTTTTTTTTTTTTTTTTTTTTTTGTATGATTGACGTTGAAGCTGAAGCTTATTCTGAGGTATTGCACGAGCTCCGATAGCAGTTCTTTTGTATCGTTTAACGTCTCATTGGAATATATTATTTGTGTTCTCCAAGACTAACGTATATTCACTTTCTTGGCTGCCACTTTCCTTCAGGTTGTTGATTTGGAAGAGGTGCTATCTCAGGGGGATAGTACATGATTTTGTACTCCAGGTATTTTTCGCGTTTCAGGAGTAGATTTATAATTATTTTGTCCCCTCTGGGTTCATTGGGTTGCATATGTGTGGAAAATAAATCTCTTGTTTAAATTAAATCTCTTGCAGGAGATGATCTTTAGCTTCCTAGTATGTTCATATCATTTGGTATAATATGATTTTGCCTCATGTTAAAATTTTCTACCATTCTATATGGTTTCTCAAAATGGATGAGTACTCTAGTTACGAGTTACCTTATCTGTTGTTTAAAATTTCTAACAAAACACTTAAGTTTGACGTCAAATAGTATGAGTGTTCTAGAGTTTGAAGATTAGCGGGAGATGATCTTCAAATTTCTAGTATGTTCATATTATTTGGGTAAGATATGATTTCCTCATGTTAAAGATTTCTACCATTCTATTTGGGTTCTTAAAATTGACGAGTACTTTAGGTTCATATCATTTGGTAAAATATGATTTTGCTTCGTGTTAAAGATTTTTACTATTCTATTTGGTTTCTCAAAATGGATGAGTATTCTAGGTTTTGAAGATTTACGAGTTACTTTATCTCTGGTTTAAAATCTCTAACAAAACACTTAAGTTTGATGTCAAATATTTTGAGTGTTCTAGAGTTTGAAGATTAGCGGGAGATGATCATCAAATTCCTAGTATGTTCATATTATTTGGATAAGATATGATTTCCCAAATTTCTAACAAAATACTTAAGTTTGATGTCAAATAGTACGAGTGTTCTAGAGTTTGAAGATTAGCGGGAGATGATCTTCAAATTCCTAGTATGTTCATATTATTTGGTTAAGATATGATTTCCCAAATTTCTAACAAAATACTTAAGTTTGATGTCAAATAGTATGAGTGTTCTAGAGTTTGAAGATTAGCGGGAGATGATCTTCAAATTCCTAGTATGTTCATATTATTTGGGTAAGATATGATTTCCTCATGTTAAGAATTTCTACCATTCTATTTGGGTTCTTAAAATTGACAAGTACTTTAAGTTCATATCATTTGGTAAAGTATGATTTTGCCTCATGAGATTTTTACCATTCTATTTGGTTTTTCTCGAAATGGATGTATTCTAGGTTTTGAAGATTTACGAGTTACTTTATCTCTTGTTTAAAATTTCTAACAAAACACTTAAGTTTGATGTCAAATAGTAATGAGTGTTCTCGAGTTTGAAGATTAATCTTCAAATTTCGAGTATGTTCTTATTATTTGGGTAAGATATGATTTCCTCATGTTAAGGATTTCTACCATTCTATTTGGGTTCTTAAAATTGATGAGTATTTTAGGTTTGAAATTTATAACTGATTACTAAATTGTGATCTTAAATAGTACGAGCGGGAAATGATCTTCAACTTCCTAATATGTTCATACCATTCTATTTGGTTTCGAGTTACTTTATCTCTTGTTAATTTCTAACAAAACACTTAAAGTTGATGTCAAATAGTGAGTGTTTCTAGAGTTTGAAGATTAGCGGGAGATGATCTTCAAATTCCTAGTATGTTCATATTATTTGGGTAAGATATGATTTCCTAATGTTAAAGATTTCTACCCTTCTATTTAGGTTATTAAGATTTACGAGTACTTTAGGTTCATATCATTTGGTAAAATATGATTTTGACTCATGGTAAAGATTTTTACCATTCTATTTGGTTTCTCAAAATGGATGAGTATTCTAGGTTTTGAAGATTTATGATTTACTTTATCTCTTGTTTATTTCTAACAAAACACTTAAGTTTGATGTCAAATAGTATGAGTGTTTTAGAGTTTGAAGATTAGCGGGAAATGATCTTTCAAATTCCTAGAACGTTCATATTATTTGGGTAAGATATGGGCTCTTAAAATTGACGAGTACTTTAGGTTTGAAATTTATAACCGATTACTAAATTGTTTATATTAAATAGTATGAGTGTTCTAGGGTTTGAAGATTAGTGGAAGATGATTTTCAACGTCCTAGTATGTTCATACAATTTTATGTGGTTTCAAGTTACTTTATCTCTTGTTTCTTACAAAACACTCAAGTTTGATGTCAAACCATATGAGTGTTCTAGAGTTTGAAGATTAGAAGGAGATAGATTTTCAAATTCCTAGTATGTTTATATTATTTGGGTAAGATATGATTTTCTCATGTCAAAGAATTTTACCATTCTATTTGGGTTCTTAAAATTGATGAGTACTTTAGGTTTGAAATTTAGAACCGATTACTAAATTGTGATCTCAAATAGTATTGAGTGTTCTAGAGTTTGAAAATTAGCGGGAGATGATCTTCAAATTCCTAGTATGTTCATATTATTTGGGTAAGATATGATTTTCTCGTGTCAAAGATTTCTACCATTCTATTTGGGTTCCTAAAATTGACAAGTACTTTAGGTTTGAAATTTATAACAGATTACTAAATTGTGATCTTAAATAGTACGAGTTTTCTAGGGTTTGAAGATTAGCAGGAGATCTTCAAATTCCTAGTATGTTCTTATTACTTGGCTAAGATACGATTTCCTCATGTTGAAGATTTCTACCATTCTATTTGCGTTCTTAAAATTCCTAGTATGTTCATATTATTTGGGTAAGATATGATTTCCTCGTGTCAAAGATTTCTACCATTCTATTTGGGTTCCTAAAATTGACAAGTACTTTTAGGTTTGAAATTTATAACCGATTACTAAATTGTGATCTTAAATAGTATGAGTGTTCTAGGGTTTGAAGATTAGCAGGAGATGATCTTAAATAGTATGAGTGTTATAGGGTTTGAAGATTAGCAGGAGATGATCTTCAACTTCCTAATATGTTCGTACCATTTGGTATTATATGATTTTGGTTCATGTAAAGATTTTTCGTGTTATGATATTTTCTGCGTATTTCTAATAATATCAAGTGTTATTCCTATTTTGGCATTTCTTATTTTTTGAGTTCTAGCCTCTCTTAGCAAAGAGCCAGAGAAACTTTTGAGTTATGAATCGGGAATAGAACCAATGGGCGATGCTTGGGTACAATTTTGAATCCCTTATTATTATATATTTGCTCTAGTTTTTGTTGTTTTTGATGTTGAAATGGCTTTTCTTTATCCATGGGCAATGAGTTTTGATGTATTTAGGGGTATTCGTAAGATTTTTAATTTATTTTTTCGTCATGTCTTGTCAAATAGTATGAGTGCTCTAGAGTTTGAAGATTAGTGGGGAATGATCTTTAACTTTCTAGTATGTTCATATTATTTGGGTAAGATATGATTTTGCCTATTGTGATCTCAAATTGTATGAGCGTTCGGTGGTTTGAAGATTAGTGGGATTTTTTCAACTTCCTAGTATGTCCATATCATTTGGTAAGATATCATTTTGCCTCTCGTTAAAGATTTTTACTATTATATTTGGGTTCTCAAAATTTAAGATTGCTCTATGTTTTGAAATTTATACTTCCAAAAAATTATAATATGGTTTGAGTTCGATATTTGGGTTCTCAAAATTTAGAAATGCTTTATGTTTTGAAATTTATACTTCCAAAAAATTATAATGGGGTTTGAGTTCGTTTTCAAGCTTGTCATGATCTCGTCATTATTTTACGTAATTTTGCACTTGTGCAGATACTATTGTGATAAATGTGATATTTGTAAAAATCAAATAAAGAATACCGCTAAGTTACTCGTGTGTGCCTACGATTTGTTGGCTCGTCGTAGTTCTCTTTAGTTTTTCAATTTTGTCGTGTAATTTCTTGATTGATGGAATATGTTTATGGGCATATGAGCAGTGTCCATCAATTCCTGGACTTTTTTTGGTTTCATGAGATGCAAATGTTATTTCAAAAACTGTTCTGAGTCCTTACCTTGAGCATGAACGTTGTTGAGATAGATTTGGTTGGTTGGCTTGAAAATTTCATTTTCTAGATCTCATTTTGAAAATTGTCTAGTCATAATAATTATATCCGTATGATTATTGGGTTGAAATATTTGTTCTCTTTTCAAATTCATCTTGATTTTTCTACCTTCGATTATGTTTTACCCCTTCTCTATTTTCGAAATCATCATAATTGTTTTGAAGTTGATTAGGTTTCGGTGTATGAGCTTTCCAGAATCCATCAATTTCAAACAATTGGGTGTCGCCCACCTTCAGTAACAGTTAAGTCATCCTACTACACTTGATGATCTTCAGGGCTTTTCTTTATTATTTCCATTCCAATGATTAATAGGTGTTCAATCGTGATACGAATGCCAAGGTTGCTATTGGAGCATTATCAAGAATGGAAGGAATATGGTAAATTGGTATGTGGTTTTATCTTTTGTTCCTAGACTTCTCCTGTGATACCCTCCCTCATTTTTCTTGTAGTAACATGTTGTGGTAGATGTATCTCAATGATTATTGTTGTTATTTTTCGTAATCTTTCACTTGTGACGATATTATTGTGATTGCTGCGATATTTGTAAGAATCAAATAATGAATACCGGTAAGTTTAAAGAATAATTCTTGTATGTTAATTTGATGTTTTTCACTTTTGTGTGTGCCTATGAGACGAATTCAATATAGCAATGACAAGTTAGAATGACGATGGTGGCAGCGGCGTGGGAGCAAAGGTAATTTCTAATTTATACTTCCAACCAATTCTAAACTGTGATCTCAAATAGTACGAGCAATCTATGTTTTGGAATTATGTTGTGATAACGATTTTATATAATTCGTGAGTCTTCATATGTCACGTTAAAATTATGCTATCATGTTCTCGACATTAAAAAGTGAGTATGTAATTATAAAAGGAAATAGATGTATTTATGTGTACGTGAGTTTTAACTGTTTTAAATTTCCATTTTTTCTTCTATATCATTTTAATCACAAAAAAATAAAATTTTTTTTTTCTGTCCAAATATTCATTGATTTATTTTATTTTAATTTATTTTATAATTTCAGGATTTCAATTCCTTACCATGTCGTTATTCCTTGTTTTTTATTGGGTTATGAACTAAAACCTTGTTTTGGGCCTAGGGGTATTTCGTTGGCCCATTTCCACATTCCTTAGGCCCAGTCCATTATTTTTTAAATTAAATTTAAATTATTTAATTATGTTATTTCTTAGCTCTTCACGCGCAACCTTCTTTTAACGTAATTTTCTTACTTGGCTAAACTTCCAAGTTTCTCTTGATAGATACTGGGCGGGCAGTGAACGCTGGTATACTAAACAGCAAGCTTTACGGGGCGCTTTGACGAGCAGCAACAACATCCAGATTTTTCTACATTCGGTTAGGCTTTTGGATTTTCCAAGTTTAGGTTTTATTTTCTTAGATTGCGTCGAATTGGGCTTTTTGATGAGCAGAGTAACAACATCTACATTTTTCTGAATTCGTTTGGGGTTTTGTTTTTTTTTTTTCCAATTTTAGGTTTGATTTTCTTAGAATGCATCGAATTGAAACAATCCGAAGTCGAGTTCGTACTCTCCATTCGTCGGTCTAGACTTCGATTTCCCTCCCTTCTGTTCAGAAAATTGTCTTCGGAAATCAAATTAGGTTTTGGTTTTTCCTTCTCTGTTTGCAAAATCATCCTGTTCTTCTGAGGTGGGTTCGATATTTATTTTTCAATAATCGTCTTGGAAAATTGTCCTGTTTTTTTCGGTTTTCGCTTTTCCTTCTCTTTCAGGTGGCTTCGGTTTTTATTTTTCAATCATAATTTATGGAAATTTATACGTTGAGGTCATGCATTAGATAGAATTAACAGAAGTATAGTTGTGTAGAAGCCATTTTCTTGATTTGATTTTATGGATGACTGTGGTTGCTCTTTCTTCCAAAATTATGTATCTGCGAATACGGTTCAACTGTTCATCGTTCTAGACAAGAGTTATGTAGTTGTCCAGACATAATGGTTGCATTGGTACAATAAATGTCCAGACATAATGGTTGCCTCGATAGGCTTTCAAATAATGGTTGTCTTGGAATGATAATTGTTGCTAAATTTCGATTGCCGTGGTACAATAATAGTCTCGACATAACTGCTTTGTGTTATGTAGTTGTCCCGAGATAATGGTTGCCTTGATATGCTATTTTGAATTTACTTGTCTGGAAATGAAAATTGTTGTGAACTATTGGTGGTTGCGGACAATAATTGTCGGAACATAATGATAATCATTTGAAATGGTTGCCTTTTTTAGAATGATAATCATTTGAAATATCGGTTGCCTTGGTGCGATAATTGTCCAGACATAATGGTTGCCTTCATAGGCTTCCAGATAACTCGAAATATTAGTTGTCTTGAAATGACGGTTGCAAAATTTTGATTGACTTGGTTCAATAATAGTCCCAACATAACGGTTCTCTCTAAGGTTGAGTCTTATAACTTGGCCTAGAGTAGAGTGGTTGTTGAGTGAACCAGCCAGCTATTTACCTTGTGTTTGAGTTAAAGAATAAATAGGGATAAATAGGCAAAGGCACGCATGGACAATGTGTGTGACTGATAAAGTTTGGTTTTTGCATGAGCTATCGATTGAGAACCTCGCGTGAGGTCTGATGAAGCTGCAAAGTCGGGAATAAAAAATTATAACGAAGTTTGAATTTCTCTTAAGACTTGTTGGGATCATTTCAAGATTATTATCAAGAATGGAAGGAATATCGTAAACTGGTATGATTTTATATTTTATTCCTAGACTTCTCCTGTGATACCCTAATTTAAACCTTTCGGATTTCTTGTGGTGGTGAATGTATCCCAATGATTATTGTTATTTTATGTAATTTTTTACTTGTACTTGTAGGAATTAAGTGTAAGTTTAATGAATAATTCTATATGCAGTTTTGGATGTTAAATAGACTTTGACTCTTTCCCTGTCATACGAGTGGATCTTAAATCTGTTAGAAACATACTTTATATGTCTTGATAGATAATGGTTGCTTGGAATATTGGTTCGTTTTGGTACAATAATTGTCCAGACATAATGGATGCGAAATGTCGGTTGCCTTAGTACAATAGTTGTACGTGTCTTTGATAGAATCCCAATTGTGTTTGTTATAATATAAATTGGACACGGGCAGTGTGCATCAATTCTCCGACTGTTTTTGGGTTCTTGAGTTGCAAATGTTTTTCAATTATGGCTCTTTCCCTTTCTTACAAGTAGGGAGGGGCCTCCCAGTTTTTGATCTCTCAGAAACATGCTTAAGCAGGTGCGTATAGAAAACCGTTCGACTTTGGTAGGAGGCTGGTGCTTTGATATTCAAAAACCCATTGGATGTTTTTAATTAAAAGATTAGGTTCGTTCTGTTTATTATATTTGCTCCATGTGAGGCTCCTATCTTTTCAGGTATTTTTTCCTTTGCCATGTTATTGCTTCGACCAATACCGATACGAAGAGGGTTATTTCTATATAGGTTATAGAATTTTGTTATAGTTGTTATAGAATCTGCTAGTGTTCTAATTGTTATATTATTTCGTTGGTGGCTAACGATCAACGGTAAAGGAGTTTAAGCTCTTACGTGTTTTATTCTTTCCCTTCTCTTTCTCCTCGAGCTACTTACTCATTCACCTCTCCAACTCGGCTTTTCTTACCTCCTTCACCTATCAGCTCGTCTTAGGACGACTTGCAGGTTTGTTCAGTAGCTCTTTTCTTTCACGAGGTAAAGCTATTTGAAGAACCTTTACAGTCGATAAAATGAATAGTGTTTATTTCAAGAAAGGAATTTAAGCTCTCAGATGTTTTAAGAATACTGTAATATGTCAACTCTCCATCTTTTCTTGTGTTCAGTTGATTTTGATTAATTTGATCCATTTAGTAAGCTGGTTAATCAATATGTCCGACAACGAAATTTGGGTTCTATGTGTCCAGGTGTTTCTGTCTCTACCATGTAGGAGAAGGGGAAATAGTAGCTTGGATTTTATTTTTTTTTAACTCTTTTTAACATGATTTTTCTTTTACGGTTCGATTAGTCAAGTTAGCGATGGAGCTGGAAATGTTCGATGAGTACAAGTTTGATCTCAAATAGTTTGAACATTCTAGAATTTGAAGATTAGCGGGAGATGATCTTCAACTTTCTTGTAGGTTTATATCATTTGGTAAGATAAGATTTTACTTTAAAGAATCCAAAATAATGTTTGTCTTGAAATATTACTTTGTGTTATGGGGTTGTCTTGAAATAATGGTTGTCTTAATATGCTATTTTGAATTTAGTTGTCTCGAAATGAGTATTGTTGCTAACTATTGGTTTCCTTTGAGCAATAATTAATGGTTGCCTTAATAGAATTCAAAATAATGGTTGCCTTGGTATAATAATAGTCCAGACATAATAGTTGGCTTCAAAATAATGGTGGCTTAGAAGATTGGAGTCTTATGACTTCGCTGAGTGAACATGCACGCAAGGAAAACGTGTATGTCCAAAATAGTTTGGTTTCAAGATCATGACGCCACCCATTTTGAAAACTACAATTGTGATAGTTTCTCTAGGTATTATAGTTGGCTTGAAATATTGGTTTTCTTCGTTTAGACACAATGATTGTCACCATAGAATCCAAAATAATGGTTGTCTTAAAATATTTTTTTGCTATATGATTGCCTTCAACTCTAATGGATTGTTATTGGACTCTTGTTGGGTTTTTTAGTTTTCAATATGTGAATTCAGCTTGATTTTTCTAGAATTAATTAACTTTGCCCTATTCTCTTGCCCTATTCTCTTGTAACGACTCAGATCCATCGCTAGCAGATGTTGTCCTCTTTGTTGTCCTCCTTGGGCTTTCCCTTTCGGGCTTCACCCTTATAAACATGGGACATCAGATCTCTATTTGCGGAATCATTCTAATTCTTTTGAAGTCGATTTCAAACAATTTGGAGTCTAGGTTTCTGGCCCACCTTTAGGCTCATTATAGCAGAGTATACAACATATTAAAACGCACATGGTAGAAAATTTGGGTCGTTCTAGGAGAGAATATAACATATTGAATAAGTTAGTTGAAAAGATTCCAATTATCTCGACATAATTACACGTGTGCATACTATGCCCCAAATGGGTTGAAAAGATAGATTAGAATCTTTTAATTTGCAAATTGCATAGAAAAGCATATTGGCTTCTTACCTACCATTCACTTGATATATTCCCACTTTATACACATGACAAAGCCAAAAGCATTGGGAAAGGAATAAGCTTATATATATATATATATATATATATATATATATATAAAAATAAAGTGCTTCTCTCCCATATATTTCATTACCCAATATTAAATTATTTGCACATAATGAGAATTTTATCGTCACCCCTATTTGAGCAATGGACTCCACCCATGACATGGAAAGAAGCATACAAATGGGTTGAAATGAGGATAGATTCTTCAGGTAACGAACGCTACTTTAATCTTGTGTTTTTATACGCTATTTTTAATAAAAACTTTGTGTCAAAAAGATCTGTGAATCTTTGTTTAGGTTTTCCAAAGATCTGTGAATCAAGGACGATTCGAATTATTGCCTTGAAGAAAAAAGGGGGGTCGCCAAATCCATACAAATTGAGGACAACTGCTCATTCAGTAAAGCCCATGCTAACGTTCTTGTTGTTACATTTTCGAGAAAAAAATAAATCTTAATTTTCATCTAAATTAAGATTTACTTTGTGTTTTAAAGACTATATTATATACACTGAAGCTTGCTAATATGTACTCCGTTTGAAATATGTACTCCGTTTGAATTAGTGAGGACCACATGCAAAGCTAAATACTCTTGGTTGACCGATAGTAAAGTAGTACAATGAGGGAAGGGTGAAATAGAATATGAAACCGTAAGCTTCTAAGAAGTAAGGGGAAATCAAGACTCTGACCACGTGCTTGTTTAGACAATGGCTTGGTTGAGTCGGCGACTCATAGGCAGTGACTTGGTTAAGCAATGGCTTGGTTGAGTCGGCGAACTAGAAGGTGTCCCTAATGAAAGACATGTTTAGGTTCGGACAAAAAGGTTGAGCCCATGCTTTCGAACTTTTCGACGCTTTAGATTGAATCAAACCGGTGGCAAATAGCACTATCAAAGTCCCTCTCCGTGGTGCATAACGTAATTCATGTATTAATACTTCGCAAATACTTGACTGATCCGACACACGACTACAAACATCTCTAAATAGATGGGGATTCGAGTTATTCTAAGTTAAAAGTGCTTTCGAAGACGAAAGTTTCTTTTAAATGTATGTGATGTAACGACCGAAAATTTGAAATAATAATAATAAAAGAAGGTTGTAGAATTAGGCTTCATGCATCATTGGATCGATGTCTCGCAAATATTTGACTGAACCAACGCACGTTATAGATTACCAACCTCTCCAAATAGACGGGGATCTCTTGGTCTACCACAACAATTACTCTATTTCATCCCACTTGGACAATTCGGAGCCATTCGAAGACTATTTTCTGACTGCTCCCGGTCGAGTTCTCGGCCAATCTGTCATGGGTCCAATACGCTCGGACTCTTTTCAATTCAAGATAGGGCGTGTGTCCTATAGCTCTTCGTGTTGTACTTTGTAATTGTTTAATGTGTTTATTATATTAATATTGTGTTATGAATACTACGGAAGTTGATACGTTATGTTATGCCGTATTCTGTGAGGTATGTTATGTCATGTAATATCATGTTGACATGTTATGACATTGAAAATTGTGCTAAGTTACTATGTTATACACTTGAGGCAACATAAAATGATTATGTTACGTATGAAATGAACAAAGATCTATCTTGCATCATAGATACATGTCATGACTTAAACTATAGGGACTTCATGCATATTGTACGTTTACGTGTATCGGGATACTTTCCTATTATGATTAGTACAGACACATGCACTACGACAATTATGATATGGTATTTTGTACATCATGGATGCACGCTCCTTTCCCTCCTTGGTATGCCGACAACATGAGTATTCGCTAGTTGAAGGTCGGGTCTAGGGGGTAGGTATACGAGCTCGCTTGGGGGTCTATGTGCACATACATGAGTCGTGTGTAGAGACGCACTACACATCTAATTCTGTCCGGAGTGAAAGTTGAAACCAAGGCCATAAAATGATAAGTCTCAAACATGATTATATGTGCTTACATTTCCTGACCCCATTATCGAGGTTATTGGGGTTATTTCTTAAAAAACTCAAACATCCATATGAAATTAGTGTCGTTACAACACGTGCCCTGTGGCCCTTACACGTGTCGTGTTTTATGATTGTTTGACATGTACTATGTTACATTTATGTTATGATATCTGTTATGTCGTGATTATAAGTTATGCTATATTATGATGTGATTATGCTATGTTTTGGAATTATGTTGTGATAACGATTTTGTATTATGCATGGACTTATGAGAGTGCGTTAGTTGAAATACTACTACTTTTTGCCCTGGAAAATAGAGTTCAACGCCATGATTGCATTTCCCGACCCAAATAATAGAGTTACTACTACTTCTTTCAGGTAATGGTAAGACACCCTTACACGGACGTGACGTTGTTGTGCATGCTGCGGGGATGAAATCATAATAATTGCATTATCTATTAAAATTGTAGCCCTAAAGATATATTAACGTTTTCATTACTTTGGAATTATTGTTATTTCGTCTTCGTTATTCCATTGATGTTACTTTATTTTAAATGAATTTTGTGAACGTTTAAGTTCATGGTATTGTTTACACGTGCATGTTTCTAAATGAATTTTCGCATACATTAAGCATATTATGCATATAGTATCGATTTTATTTTTAGAACGATCCAGACCCACCGCTAGTAGATATTATCCTCTTTAGGGGAAGGTTTCCACTTTCTTATAAAGGGTGTTTTGTTCTCCTCCCCAACCAATGTGAGACATCACAATCCATCCCGCTTCGGGGCCCAGTGTCTTCGCTGGCACTCATTCCTTTCTCCAATTCGATGTGAGACCCCACCAAATCCAACCCTCTTTAGGGCCCAGCGTCCTTGTTGGCACATCGCCCCGTGTCTGGCTTTGATACCATTTATAAACGACCTAGGCCCATCGTTAGCAGATATTGTTCTATTTGCGCTTTTCCTTTCGGGCTTCCCCTAAAGGCTTTAAAACGCATCTGCTAGAGGACGGTTTCCACTCCTAAAGGGTGTTTTGTTCTCCTCCCCAACCAACGTGGGACATCATAATTTTAGTAGTAAAACTAGTGTCGTTACCGTTCCTCTTCATTACTAGTCGATTCTATATATAAAATTTAGGCTTATTTTTCACAATTTTGCAAATTCACCTTATAAACTATATATATATATATATATATATAGTTTTAGAGATTATTATCAAATTGAGAACATCAAAGTATATTATTATACCCAAAAAAAAAAAAAAAAATTATGCCCTATTCTTGAAATTTAAAAGACGAGAATAAACCTTTTGCATTATAGATCGAACAAAATAAATGGATATGTTTGTTTCTCTCTATCATTATCATATTATTCTTTCGATGTCTATGGGTCATTTCCGCGAACTTTCTCCATTTATTTTTTAAATGGTTCTTTCTGAAAAAAAAAAAAAATTAAATGACCCTGAATCTTAGGTCCTTGGGCTTCAATAAAATGATTGGTCAATTCAGGTTTCAGGTCGGTTCATATATGAATTGAGTTGTTGAATCGATTCGGGTTCTAGGTCAGGTCACTAGATCATACTATGTTTAGATAGGCCGCTCTTGGTTCTAGGCCGGGTATGGGTTGGATCGGGTTTGATATGGAGTGGATCAAATCGGATATTAAATTTGACTGAAAATTCTATATTAAGTCATCTTGTGAGAATTTTTCTAGGGAAAAGCAGGCGTGAAAGGCAAAAAGAAACATTTTTGTTCGAGATTCTTATTGAAAAAAAATGTATTATAAAATTTTCAAATACATTAAGAAATTCTTTTTAGAAAAAAAGTGTCTCTTTTCAAAGCCTAATTTTCATGGTGATCGAAAAATTATTAGATGAACACGTCATAACCTAGTCTTCTCTCGATAAACAAAAATATTTAAAAAAAAAAAAAAGCACGTAAGCTACTTAGTTAATCTCGAAAAGGGTAAAATTTCCAATCTCAAACAGAATAAAACTCCACCTCGAGATAAGATATAACACACTGAATACGTGAGTCAGAAAGACAATGAAATCAAATTCTCGAGCTGTTCATACGAAAATTCCCAATATTCGAGCCAGCTATACGCACACATCCAACGTCCCAAATGAAAAGAAATAAGTTACGCAACATTTTCCTCTCGAAAAAAGATAGAATAGAATCTCGTATTGGCCTCTTCCATTCATTTGATATATTCCACTTTATACACAAAACAAAGCCAAAAGCATTGTGAAAGGAATAAGCTTTTATATATATATATATATATATATATATATATATATATAGTCCCATATAATTCATTACACAAAATTAAATTATTTGAAGTTTTGAAGATTTTCAATGTCGAGGCAAGTATTTGGTTGGGATGAAATGGATCAACAAAAGGAGAATTACACTCCAAAAGTGGATTGGAAAGAGAGAAAGGAAACAAATAAAGAGTACTATGATATGATGATCGATTTTTCGGGTAATTTCTAACTTCGTTCTTATTTAATTTCATGTTAAAACGCTACTTTGATCTTCGTACGTTATGTTTAAACGTCAAATTTTTGTTTTTGAATATTATCTTGTGATCTGTGAATTGTTTTTTAGGTTGTTCAAGGAATCAACTGCAAATCTCGATGAGTAGAGAATTAAAGACTATTGATATTATGACAACAAAAAAAGAAGGATACAATATCGTTCGTGTCAACGAATCCATACCAATTAAGAACGAGTGCTCGTTGGATGATGTCTATGCATCGTTTGTTAAAAATGATCTTATTATTACATTCCCGAAGAAAACAAATGTTTAATTTCCATCCAAATCGAGATTTACTTTCTTAATGAATAAACACGGACTTCCTAGGTTTGTGTAAAACACTATATATACATACATATGTTTATATATATATATATATATATATATATATATATATATATATATATATATATATATATATACATACGTACACGTGCTATGTATTATTTTTATCAAATTTGATTATGTTATGGTCGGTGATATGTGAGAAACTCGAGTAGTTTGGAGTACGTGAAATCTCATGTGAATCAAGAAGGACCATCTTGCAAAGCTAAACACTTATGGTGACCGATGGTCTTCAGAACAGTAGGAAGAGGTAAGGACTCTGACCGTGTGCCTGTTGAAGAATGAGTCGGTGACTCATAAGCAGTGGCTTGGTTAAGGGAACCTACTGTGAGAAACTACAAAATATATATATCTATATATATATATATATATGTAAATGTTTTCTATTGGCTTCAGATTCTCAAGCTCGTCTTGAGTTGCTTTTACGAGTGAAAATAATACGGAGTCTTTCAAAATAATTTTTTTTTCTATAATTTCTGTGAACAATTGCATCAATTTTATAACTAAAACTATTAAATTGAAATAAATAATAAATAATTGTTCGGCCTTTAATCTCATTTTAATTAATTTCAATCAATTAATTGATTGATGTTTAGATGATAACAAACGTACTTTTAATTATTAACAATTTTCTGTCCACAGTATATTGGGAATAACGATTTCAACAACTTTTCAATCACTCAAATCAGAGCTAAAACGAAGAAACTACAGTCGAGACAACATACTCGACGTGATGATGTGGCAGCTAAAAAATGATAGACAAATCAAAGTATGAAATTTGTAATTTTGGAAGAGTAACAAATGGTGGAATTTTTCTTATTATTATATTTCTAAATAAAATTATTTTTACAAAATATAAATTTAAATTTACTCCTATATTATATTATTATAATATTATTCTTGAGAGAGATTATTATTGTATTGTGAGGAAATAGTTGTGAGCGGTCCAAATTGTAAATCTACTCTCGAGTTGTGGTGTGTTACTACCAAATTCAAATACTTGTACCGGTTTCATCATGAGTCATTGAATTTGCTCTTTACTATTTAATTTCAAAATTATTATTGCATCTTTAAAAAGTTTCATAATTAATAAAATTAATCAGGCTTAAATATTTTATCGTTAAAATCTTATTCACCCCTTTTAGGGTTGGCATACCGATCCAACAATTATTAGAAATTTGTGCGGCGCAAATTTAAAAGACGAGAATAAACTTTTTATATTATAATTGAGATTCTTTTGAGCCCGAATAAAATAAAGTGAAAACGTTACTATATGTTATTATCAAATTATGCTCGATTATATATTAATATTAATATTGTGTTTCTCGTTAGTAATGAAAATTAAATTTAGATTTGTGAGTGACTAGGTCGAACGACTAGTGAGAAAATAATAAGAAAAATCGAGAACGAAGGAAAGTCATCTTGAAAAAATGATGCAAGTTCTTTTACTTTCGTTGGTTTCGAACCGTATGAGTGTGTGTTAGCTTGTAGTTAAGCCTACGGGGTACGTATCCGAGTCCAACTTATGGGTTCATGCATGTGTGCATGAACTGTTTTGAGAGAAGTACTATGCATTTAATCCTACTTGAAAGAAAAAGCAGAGTCCAAATAAACAGTCACGAGTAGATAGGTTCCATCATGAACGATGATTATATGTAATTGCATATCTCGACTTCAAATGTGAGATCGAGGGAAACGATGATACGTAACGCGGTTTATAACCTCTTCCTGTTAGACGCGGTTTAAAACTGAGGTTAGCGATGATACATAACGGACCAAAACGGACAATATCTACTAGCTGTGGACTCAACTGTTACAAATGGTATCAGAACCAGACAACGAGCAGTGTGCCAACAAGGACGCTAGGCGAGATCCCAAGTTGGTTGGTGAGGGAAACGAAGTATTCTTTATAAGAATATAAAAATGTGGAAACCTGTTCCTAATTGACTCATTTTAAAACTATGAGGCTAACAATAATACGTAACGGTGAGCTTCAAGTACTTTTGATACGTAACGAACTAAGTGGACGATACGTTTACGTCCGTGACAACATTTATAACGAATTACTTTTAAATAATTTTTCGTCGTATTTTTAAATAAAAAAAGTAGGATCGTTTACGTAAGCGAATGGCTATAAGATAGCTTGGATGAATGGTTAGACCTCTAATAAGCAATATGAATGGAAGGAAGACAAATGATTCTCTTCTATTTTATTCTATTTCCACATGAAAGGGTAAAGAAAACCCACCAAACCCCAAATAGTGGACAAAGGAATAGACTTACCCACAAGAAAAATCATATAATAAATTCTTAACTCCTATGTGCTACATTTTCATTCAACCAAAACGCATCGCAATGGATTGGTTTCAAAAAGGTTCTAAATCACGAGACAAAAACGACACCGAAAGTCTCGGAATAACATTCGAACCCATCATATTCCATCCCGAGATTAATGAATATGAGACGTGCATCAAACTTCCAGGTTTGATCTCTCGAGTCGAATATAATTTCTTATTTACTTCGTCATTGGAATTTTAAAGGTGAGGACAGAGAAGCCTTATATCTCCGAGTTCTTGTCATTTCTAGAAAATTTTCTATTTATTTTTGCGGGAATTAGAGCAAATATTCTCGGGGATAGGGTTAATAATTTTTATTTTTTAATATAATTTCTATTATAAAAAATAAAGTTGTTCAAATGAATAAAAAAAATATAAATATTTAAAACATAAATCATAATATTAGGGAAAATGCAATTAATTTAGTTTTTTTTTTTTTTTTTAAATGTAATTTCACAAATTTTAAGCAGGATGCCAAAAGGATCAGATAAAGGTAACTTACGAGAAGGCGACGAGGAAGCTCAAGGTGCAGGGAAAAAAGCAGAACACGGAATTTGTTAAAGAATTCTCCGCTCCGGCCGACTGCTTAGTCACCGGAATCTATGGCCGATTTTGCGGCGATGTTCTTCGCATTATTATGCCAAGAATGCTCTCTGATCGGTCACCTTCTAATGATGCCTCTTCAAAGCAAGAAGACGATCAAAAGGCTTCTTCTGATCGGGAAGCGGCGGAGCACGCAGGGGGACATTGCGATAAATTGCCTGCTAGGGTTCCGGCACCACCGCCGTCTGATCAGAGATCGACCGATGAAGTTAAGGAAATAGGAGGAGAAAATCAACGGAGATCTATGGATAAGATGCTACCGGCCAAACGCAAATGGACAGCTTCTGAAGATGCCTCTTCAGAGAAAGAAGATGATCAGAAGGCTTCTTCGGATGGAAAAGCGACGGCGGAGGCAGGGGATTGTCGCGAGAAATCGCCTGTTAGGGCGCCGGCGGATCCGGAATCGTCGGAGAAATCGAGGCAAAGAGATAATGAACTATTCCCCGAAATCTCAGCACCACGGCCGTCCGCTATTGAACCAAGACGCTCAGTAAGGGAACTCAGAGAAAATTACCAAAAGAATATCTCTGAAATTGCCGCACCACCACCACCACCTCCACCTCCACCATCACCTCCCCGTTCATCGTCCCGTGCGGCGGCTACGACGCCATGGAATCGGAAAACCACTGGCATCAAAGCAAGAAAAGAAAAGGAAGAAGATCAAAAGCCACCGTCAACGGGAGACGCTGAATCGGAGAAATCAATCCTCGAATCTCAGAAGAACGAGAAGAAGACAGACCAAGAAGTTGCTAAAAAGGCGAAAATCGTCACTGAATCAAAAGAAAATAAAGAAAGTGAAGAGAAAAAACCTAGCGCCGGCGGGAACGTAATATTCGAGATGCTGGCGAAAGTGAAAGAGACCGGCAAGGCGGCGGTGGCGAAGGTGAAAGAGACCGGCGAGGCGGTGGCGAAGGTGGCGATGAAGGAAGAAAACCGGCCAGCTGTGATGATTGGGGCTGCTCTTTTAACCATTGTGGTAATTGGAGCTTCGTTGAGGTCCGCCAGAAAAAACAAAAAATAATTAATATGTAAACAATGTAAATTTCGTTGAATCTATATGCAATAAATGATAATTAATTTCACAATAATTTATTTGATATAGCTTATAAAATTTAATACATTAATGTTATGTTTTGATGATGTTCTTTCCTACCTCTTGAAGGAAGAATTCTAGGTGGATTTTAGGTTTTGCGTATCCACGATGGTCGAGAAACTCCGTCTATGTCCACAACAGAATCATCCGCTCACTTTCATCTCAAGCTAGCGGGCTTGACATGCTACGAATCCTCTTGAAACAGAAGGGTGCCTTCGAGAACACGAACACAAGTGGTGCATGGTTGTCGTCAGCTCGTGCCGTAAGGTGTTGGATTAAGTCCCACAACGAGCGCAATCCTCGTGTTTAGTTGCCAACCGTTGAGGTTGGAACCCTAAGCAGACTGCCGGTGATAAGCCGGAGGAAGGTGAGGATGACGCCAAGTCATCATGCCCCTTATGCCCTGGGCAACACACGTGCTACAATGGCCGAGACAAAGGGTCATGATCCCACGTTGAAAATACAATAGAAAACACGAGCATACAATGTTTTGATAACTATAGATCGATACTTTGATGAAACGAGGGGCATCCGTTGTAATTTCACACTGACTAGAGATTGTACCAAGACTAAAATGAGGACACAAAAGAAAAAAACTTGTGATCATGTGCACAAGACCTTACAACCTAACCTAGCTCCTAAAATCATATTCGACCGTTAATTTCATCAAATATGAACATTTCTATAGGCCGCCTCGGAGTCTCGATACTTGAGGGATTTTGTTCGGCGGGGAGCGTTGTCTATATTAAATTGAGATTTTTATGAGTATAAATATCATGATGCTTGTGACAATGCTACTATGACTATGATATTGCTCACTATTTATTGTCTTGTTTTCCAAGAAACTAAGAAAAATTCATGAACACAAAAATTTCTAGATATGGCATGAAATTTCATACTCTCAAAGTTGTATTGCTCTTGTGAATTTCATACTCTCTGGAAATTTCTACCGCGGGAAATGGATTTTCTTCAGTTTCTCTCCAGTTTCCGTTCTCCTTCATCTCGCGTAACGGTGGCTTCTTCTTCGTCTCTCCTCCTTCCGGTCTACGCCTATCAATCTGCAAATCGGAGAGTTACAGTCTTTCGATTGGTGGTTCGCGCCAGATCTTGTGAATTCCAGTTCTCTATCCGTAAAGGCTGAAGTCTTTCAGCAGAGAGGGACTATGATTCCTCCTTATAATGTTTTGATCGCTGGCTCTACTAAAGGTGTGGCGTCCTTTTGTTCATTTTGTTTGTTTGATATATTGCGTTATGTTTTGGTTTCCTGATGAATCTATTAACTTCCTGCTGGTTCTTTGTTTGTAGTTTTGCTTGAACTTATGGCTTCTGGTATTTGACGTCGTTTTTATAAGCAAGAAATTCCGAATTGTACTCGCTCAACTGTATTTTTGCTTTTTGACGAAATTTTGGGTGGTGGAATACATATTTGTTTATCTGATTGACTTGAATTCTTTTTAGGAATTTGGTTTGAGGAACTTCCTGGCTGGCTCTTTCCTTAGTTTTATTAAGAATTTGAAGGTATGTTTTAGACTATGATTTCACGTGTACAGTGGCAGTTTGGATTAGCAAGCTTTAAGGTTCACGAGCTTATATCATACGATTGAAGTCAAACTTATTGTTTGGAACGATTGTCGAATGTTTTATTTGTTAGGACTTCGTAGAAAGATGGATACAGTGGAGGTTAGAGCCTAATCAATTAAAGTTTGAGCGCTTAAATGAGTGCTAAGATATCCTCCGGATTAATACCCTTCTAATTATCAAGTTAGTCATAAACCTCATAAATTAGGCCTTTGGACATATAATTTTTCAAACTGTATTGCTACGAGGACCAAAGAACAACCGGTTATTCTTAGGATTTTCATCTAAATCCAAGGAAAATGTTTACTATGTATTTGCACACAGTTACCTGAATTTTCTTGATCGTGTAGATTTAGTCATATTCTAATCACTTACATATCTTTGGGATTGGAGTTTTTCATTTGAGTGCGGATATAGAGTACTTCTTTGACACATCAGTGCATTTAACTTCCTTATGTTCGTTCGTATGGTGCTTTCTACTCATATTTGCAATGTATTCAGGAATAGAATATGCGTTGGCCAAACAGTTTCTGAAAGCAGGTGACAACGTTGTAATCTGTTCACTATCAGGTAACATATGCACTATGCTCATCATGAAACCTTCTTCTTCTTCTTCCTTTTTTTTTTCTTCTCCTCCCATTCATGGACACTCGTGTAGGACTCTGAATAAATCTGTACAGGACTGTAAAATATTAACTAAAGAGTAACATTTTCTTGTACTTGCGCACACTTATATAATTATTGCATGTCGAGTTCATTTTTCAGTCATGTTTGGAGTAGGAGCTTCATGAATTAAATGGAGTTTGACGGCAGGTTATTTTGTAAAGTATGTATGAAGCTGTATTTGTAATACATTTCCGCCATCTAATCAGGTATATAGGATATTTGATCAATTCAGCTATTTGGAGAAGCTCGAGTCTATGGTTTCATTATTTAACATCGTTATCAGTTTATTTTCCCTGAAGCGTTTCATAATTTTCTTTTTTAATTTTCAAGCTTTGGTTCTTATGTGTTTGTGGTTATTTTTATTTTATAGACCTATGTGTGGCGTTCTGCACATTCTTTTAACAATTTATTAATACATTTCTGTTCCCATAAAAATGTGTTTGATTTATTGATTAGGTACGGATTCTCGTAATAATCATGATAGGCATCTATGGTTACCTCCTGCTAAACTTTTTCAATTTAATTTGTTCTTCGCAGATGTTTTTTCATCATTTTTCTATCATTTCCTTGTTTGCCATGTACTATTTGCATTTGGAGCAGTTGCCGACACTTCAAGCTCTGTCCTAATCTAATTCTACTTTACAGGGTACTAAATGTGACGTGCGAGAAGGAGAGGATGTAAAAATTGTAGTCAATTTTGTGCAGAAAAGTCTTAAATACATTGATATATGGGTATCTACTTCAAATTGCTCTTTCTCTTCCCCTTCCCTCCCCTTCTACATGAAGACCAAATGAGTAAATCCTGATTTCCATTAACTACAATACAAGTCTATTTGGTATCAAAGAATCTATATGATATTGAACATCTTAGATAGGTGGCCTTTAATGTTTGAACATGAATCATAACCTCGAGACCATCTAAATTTACTTGTCTCTTTTACTTTTGGCTGACTCGTGGTGGTGAAGATGTTGTTAATATAGCAATTTGATTGAAATCTTCAAAAAAAAAAAAAAAAAAGAAAGAAAGTAGAACATGCTATCTCTAGAATAATCCACATATACAGGATTTGTGTGCATGTATACCCTTTTTGTACTTGAGTAAATGAGCAAACACAGTAGGGATAACGCCAGCAATTATGAAATAGTAACTATTGAAATGAGAAAAAGGTTGTTGTGTATAATGATGCTATTGAGATGTCCCACTAAAGAAATGCCTCGTGTGGATAGCTTTATCATGTCATTGAGGTTTTTTCATACAATCCTAACACGTGCCTGTCTGAAAAGCGTTGGCCTATACAATGCTTAGATGGACAAAGTATGCATTTTCATAATTTACAATTGCAATATTTAACGTATTATAGGAAACTGGACTTAAAAGAACAAAAAATGTTTCATCGTCTACTATTTCAATTGTTGATTGATTTTGGTGAGAGGATATGATGAGTCTCCTACACAGTTTTTTTATGTCTTATAATTAGTACTATTTTGGTGGATTTTGTTTGCTTTTTTTGCTATTTAACGTATTGCAAGAACAATGCAGACAAATAATGCAGGGTCAAATGCTTATAGCTTTAAGCCTTTTCTCGTGACTTCAGATGAAGATCTCATGTGAGCTTCCTCCTTCTGATCTCCAAATCTCAATCACATGAAATGGAAATTCTTTTGGTTTATTCCTTAGACGCTCTCTAATGCAGTGAAGTTGTCACTACAAATGCTCTTGTAAATCATGCATAGTTCCTGACTTCTTGTTTAGGCAATAAAGATGATGTTAAACAAACCTCGAGGAGGTCTTATTTTCAACATTGATGGGGCTGGTTCTGATGGGCGACCCACCCCTAGGTACTGTTCTTTCTAATATTAACATTCTCTCTTATGTCTGAACTTGTTATATTGTTCTTCCTCTTATGTATAATTTTTTCAAGAAGAATGCAGAAGGCATGAGAAACGCACAAGAAATCTATTGTGCATTTGGATGACATCCACAATGTGCTGCTCATTTCATCTCCATTACTTGAATAACAGATGGAGCAAATAATTTTATACCGAAACATGTGAAGGTTTAGTTCTCTTAAGCACTTCTGATGAATCTAAGGATAAATTAATATGAAATTATTAGGATGAGCCCAGACAGTTTGAATATATGTACAAGACAGGACTTCAGACCTCCAATTGTTTATGGGTGGACCCTACAATCTATGTTAGAAAAAAAAAATTATGGTAACGATTGATTTTATATTTTTGTTTCTCTTTTCCTCGGTAAGACAAATTGTTATATTTTGAAGGAGCCTATTAAGGTGGGTGAGGTTATTTACATGCATTTGTTCTGTTTATATAGTGATCACTTACTCTGTTACTGAAAAATAATAATAATAATAATTGCTCTTGCACTTCTTCTTCATGTCCTCGGCCTTTGAGTTTACAGGTCGCAGAATAACTTGGCCCAAACATAAGATCTATCCCAGCCAATGGTTCAACAAGGCCCACGTACATTCGTTTCCTCACTGGACTGAAAGATTACTCTCAATTCTCAGTTGAGAAATGATTAATTACTTCTCAATTACGTTGAAATGTTTTTTTTTTCTTTACCTTCTTCGTACCCTCAACTAATTGTTTCGTGTTTCCCATTGTGTTCAGAGACTTGCTTTTGGTGCTAGAAGAAACAAATATCTTCTAGAAGATTGATAAGATCTTTAAGTACAATTTCCCATCCTGTAAGTTTTATCTGTAAAGCTTCACCTTTATTATTCCTCGTCCAGGGGCATGGTTTGTTCACATTTTGTACACTGGTTATTGATTAAGCATGATGGGACCCGTTGGACTGTTCCTAAAAGACGCAATGAAATGATGCCATATTGTCTTTGATTTATATATATTTGGAGAACTGTTGTTTTTCATTGATTTACTTATTAGATGATTAATTGTAATTTATCATTTATACCTCCTTGAAGTTGCAGCACTATTATCTTTTACCAGACCATTTGTAGAACATTTTCCTTTTTAAAAGGCAACTGAAATGGGGGGTTGGGTTAGCCCCGGTTCTTCAAAGCAATAATCGTCCTTGAATATTCCAGGGTGTGTAAATTTCGGTATGATTTGAGTTGGGCCACTTTTATTTTGAATTTATTATGAAGTTTGGAGATTTACAAATCTAACACTTCTTACACATGAATAATATTTAGGTTGACGAATCAAGACAAGTTAATCTCATCAAGGTATAATGTGTAACAAGTATTTGATCTTGTTTATTATTTTATTGCTGAGGCATTTTCGACATATTAAAAGATATATTTACCAAGTTTATGAATCTTCAATTATTTTTAGTGTTACCCACTCGGTATAGCAAGTATACTTAATGTTAAAATATGATACCATCAGACAATGAGTTTGTTGATGGTTTTAAGGTTTGATTGTTGTAGGTAAGATTGGCTGTGCGAATCAAACCTCAAAGCAACTTGCGGGTATGGCCTACAAATTTGGGGTATATCATTGGTTGCAGTACTGGAAAAAATAAATTGAAATTCGAATACGATTAAAATTGGAATGGTATTTGAAAGAAAAAAAAACAGAGAAAAAAGAAAAGGAATCAGATTGGTTTAGTAATGGAGTGTACAGTTTGATTTATCAATTAAATTAATTGTTAAGCAGGCAATAATTTAAAAATAATAATTAAGTCTTAGATTTAAAAATAATGTCTTAGATATATCTATCAAATGTAAATTTGTGAAGAAATACTTGACCTTTTCTAATTTCAAATTGAAAAAATGAACAAAAAGAAGAAAAAAGAACCCAAAATGGGAAACATGAAATCTCCAGTACTTTTAAATCGCTAGGCTTGGAAATAAGTTAGGTATTAAGCTCTTAATTTTGTAATGAAAGATGAGCCTTTTAGGGATAAAAAGAAAAAAGAAAAAAGAAAAAAGAAGAAGCCCACTAATATTCTCAATGAACAAAATTCCAAACGGTGCTCCAGTAAATATTCACCCGTGACTGAAGTCTTGGCCCCAAGTCTGACTCTGCTAAGAGCCGAAAAGAACAGATAAAATCAGAGGCTTCTGTTGTATCGTATTCCAAAATGTTTCAGTTTGATGCCAAAAGAGCTGCTTTAAGCAATAAAAGCCCTTATGAACGTTTGATTTGTCAGGCTAAAATGGCATTATTGCTCAGATTCTGTGCTCCCCGTGAACCATATGCATTTGTTTCTAGGGATAACTCATTCCCATCATAAAGTCTTCAACACCAACTTCTCAGGAAAAATTCTCCTTCCGTCTTTTAACCCTATTTAGTAATATATATTACTGTGTCAATCTCTCTCTAGGAATGCATTGATTAACATCATAATTGTAGAGACTATTTCTGCAGTCACCTTTGATAATTGACGTTATTTTATCAAAGAAGTTTGCTTATATTATTTTAGATTTCATAGATTTGGTCGGTATGTAGATATCATTTTACCACTAAATTGGCTTTTCCGCTTATCATCTGTGTAGATCAAGCTTCAATTATTTTAAGGTAAGTACATCCACAAAGTCTTGATTATATAGTTTATATTTTTAATGGTAAAATTTGAGATGAAGTTATTGGATATTTGTGTATACAATTTCTGAGGGTTCATTGATTGAGTCTTACAGTTTTACTACACTATAATACACAATTGTTTAGTGACTATACACACTATGGTACTAGAGAATTGAATTATATTTTTGCAGGTACATAGCATCTCAAAGGCATTTTATTTTATTCAGTGCCAAGATTGTGGTGGGAGTCCTATGCCATTTAATTCGTATTAAATAGTCTGTAAGCCATGTTTAGATTCTAATCTCTTGGGAAAGGGGAAAAGCATTGAGTTGGAAAAAAGTAGTCGGCCTAATCTCTGATTAATGTAGAAGCTTTTGGTTTATTACAGCCACTGTACTTCCAGTTTTGTTGTTGTGAATTATGAAGATCACTTCTTGTTCATTGGGGTTTCTCTAACAAGCTTTGAATCTATTTTCCATCATAAAACCGAAGAGACAGCCAGAGAAAGAGAATTTCATTTCTTGTTCATGGGGGGTTTCTGCTTCTTTCTGCTCTCTGGTCTGTAACTCTTTTGGTCTCTTCTAGACTGTTCACACGAGCAGCAGTTACTTCACCTCTAAGCTTTAATGGCAAAACTAAAACTAGTCTGCCATTTCCATCTTCTTCTGTTCGTGTTATTGTTCTCTTTTCATCTTTCAACTCAGCTTCAACCTTCTGAGTCCCAATCCCTTCTGCAAATCCGGGAACTTTTAAACTACCCTCAAGCTCTAGCCAACTTCGACAACTTTACAGACTTCTGTGACACTGAATCCACTCCATCTCTTACCATCGTGTGCTATGAAGGCTATATAACCCAGCTCCACATTGTTGGTGAAGTGGGGCGCCCCACTTTTCAACAAAATACTTCGGCTGATTTTTTGTTTTCCACATTTTCCCAGTTTCCCAATCTGAAGGTACTATCTCTGGTTTCTCTGGGTTTTGAGAGGCCATTGCCTCCAACTGTTGGTAAGCTTTTATCTCTAGAAATACTCAACTTAAGCTCAAATTCCTTCTATGGCTCCGTCCCGGAGGAACTATCTTCTTTGAAAAGCCTACAGACTCTCATTCTTGACTACAATCATTTCTCTGGTAATATTCCGAGTTGGATTGATTCCCTACCAGTGTTAACTACCCTGAGTTTACAGAACAACTCCTTTAATGGGTCCTTGCCAGATTCCATTACCCATATGTGGAGCCTTCGAGTTCTTTCTCTCTCGAAAAATTCTCTTTCTGGGAAGGTGCCAGACCTCAGCAACTTAACGAACGTGCAAGTTCTCGACTTGGGAGACAATCTTCTGGGGCCCCAGTTTCCTAAATTGCCGAAGAGGCTAAGTATACTTGTGCTCAAAAACAACAGATTTCGCTCGGGTATCCCAGCTGAGTTAGCCTTCTTATATCGCCTTGAAAAGCTTGACATATCTTCAAATAAGCTTGTTGGTCCATTTCTGGCATCGCTTTTGGGACTTCCTTCGATTAAGTATCTGAATATTGGGGGGAACAGATTAACTGGGCTGCTTTTACGTAACGTATCTTGCAATAGTGATCTTACATTTGTAAATTTATCCTCAAACCTTTTGACCGGAGACTTACCCACCTGTCTTCAGCAATTGGAGTCCAAGAACAATGATGTCATTTACACTGGAAATTGCTTGTCAAATAAAGACCAAGAACAGCACCCCTTAAACTTCTGTCACAACGAAGCTTTAGCAGTGAGTATTAAGCCACATAATCTGGAGCATAGGAAAGGTCATCGTGGGGTAATGACTTTCTTAAGAATATTCGGAGGAAGTATTGCTGGAATTATAGTTGTTGCTCTGGTATTCTTCACGATGAGAAGGACGTACAAAATGGGCGTTCTTAAAGAACCACCAACAAGGTTTGTAACAGAGAATTCATCTGTAACAAACACAGCCAAGCAGCTGTATGATGCCAGTAAGATAAAGACTTTCCTTTCCTGTTCCTTTCTGGTTGATTTCTTAAACTGGGTTGATCTCATTAAAGCAAGAGAACTGAAAAGTAATCAAATTTTTCCGTTTGGTTGCATCTTCTTGCATAACTATTGCGAAATTGGCGTCATTCTATTGTGAGTTAAGAATTTAATTCGTCCTTGTAGATATATTAAAATTCACAATGTATTTGCAGAGTATATATCTCAGACAATGAAGCTGGGAACTAGCCTTCCTCCTTATCGAACTTTCACTTTGGATGAACTTAAGGAGGCCACCAACAACTTTGATGCTTCAACTTTGATAAGTGAAAGTACGGATGGCCAGGTATCATTCAAGCTTACTCACCAGAATTTAATACATTTTCACTGTTCTTAGTTTATATGTCAGTGACTTTCCTCTAGTGTTGCTCAAGACATGAACAGTTCTTCGTGCTTGCGATATCCACATTGGTTGGGGAGGAGAACGAAACACCCGTTATAAGGGTATGGAAACCTTTCCCTAGCAGACGCGTAGTCTTGAGGGGAAGCCCGAAAGGGAAAGCCCAAAGAGGACAATATCTGCTAGCAGTGGGCCTGGGTTGTTACAATCTTCTTTGACTTTCTGTGCATTTGAAGTATTTCTGTAACTATTACTATTGCGTATTTGTCTGCTAAGTAAAACTAATAAATGGATTCACAAGAAAAATCTCTCTTGACAATACCAGATATTCAAAGGGATGTTTACTGATGGCAGTATCGTTGCCATTAGGAGTTTAACTTTGAAAAGGCGGCAAACCCCTCAAACCTACATGCATCAGTTGGAGTTGATATCTAAACTACGACACAGTCATTTGGTCAGTGCTCTTGGACACTGTTATGAGTTCCTCCCAGATGGTTTAACCATCACCAGAGTATTCTTAATATTCGAGTACTATCCTTACGGAACGCTAAGAAGCCACGTATCTGGTAAAACGATTTTCCATGGCATATCTCTAGCTATATTATTACTGTAACTTTTGTTGCTAGTTCATCATGGTACTGATGATACAGGGCTACATGGGCAAAAGCTCTTTTGGACGAAAAGAATATCGGCTGCGATCGAAGTGGTGAAGGGAATTCAGTTCCTACATACAGGCATTGTGCCTGGTGTATACTCAAACAATCTGAAGATTACAGATATTTTACTCGATCAAGATCTCCGTGTGAAAATCAGCAGTTATAATTTACCTATCGTCGTCGAAAACGGTGGAACGGTATGATATGATACAGAGAGTACGAAGACTATCTCATATATTTGCATACTCAAGCTTAATGTAGTTGATGTATCATGTTGCCTTTCAGATGATTTCAGGAGTTTCATCAACTAGCAGAAAAGGGAAGCGCCATGCTATGGAGTAAGACTCTTTAAATGTTTTCTCAAGAAGAATTCGGAAACTGGAAATCATTTTGTGGCGTTTTATGTGTTTACAGAGTGAACCACGCAGATAAGGATGATGTGTATGACATAGGAGTGATTTTACTGGAAATCATTTTGGGAAGACAGATCACATCTCAAAACGAAGTTCATGTTTCAAGAGATCTTGTAAGTACATTTTCTCGTCATTGCATCTCTCACAATCATCATCACGGTTGACAAGTCTGAAGCTGAATTTGAGGCTTTGGTTTTGCTCGTATTCTCAGTTACAGGTAAGCCTAAAAACGGACGATATCGCTCGAAAGAGCATCGCAGATCCAGCAGTACACAAGGGTTGTTCGGATGAATCGCTAAAGACGATGATGGAAATATGTGTAAGATGTCTCCATGACAAGGCAGCAGATAGACCTTCTGTAGACGACATCCTTTGGAATTTGCATTTTGCAGGACAAGTTCAGGATTCGAGCAGAGACAACACTCAGAACAGCCAAAACCCACCTGCATCACCATCACCATCCTTATTAATGCCTTAAAAAGATGGTACGTACTTACATTCATGAACTTGTAAAGCATCTTATTTTTCAAGCCCAATACATTTATCTTCGTAGGGAACAATTGTAGCCTTCTTAAATCCCACATTACACTAGCTTATCCACTTGAATTTTATCGTTCGATTAGTCGAACCCGAGAAACCGAACGTCGGTAATAGTCATGCACCAATTTGAATCAATGAAGATGAAATCTGATAGATCACAGGTGCTGTATTAACTGAAAGCCATTTTAGAACAGATTGAGTGGAGGCCTATAAATTCCTTTTTTCAGTGTTCTGTTCTCTTTGGTTCTTGTAATCATGGAGTGAAGTTTGTCGCGAACGTAAAGAACCAAATAGCTACAATTTTGTTGCTTAAGGCGAAATCACTGAAAAAAAATACAGCAATGAGATGAATTAAGAAAAAGTTCGAAAAGACATCATGTTCCTGGTGGAGGGTTTTATTTTATTTTTTTATTTTTTTTATTATTTTATTGCAATTAAACATCAATTATTGTCTACTTTTTCTTTTTTAGCCATCTCTCTTTTTCTTTTTCCATTAAATATTTATATTTATCTTGTTTTCTTCTTTCAAATATGGGAAGCCAATTTATACTCCTAATTTTCTTGGGTGCATTAATTAAAAACTAAAATTAATAATTATATGAATTTAGCTTGAATTAATTTACGCCACCTATTAAATCACATAAATAAAACTGTACAGGTTTCAAAATGGCTATTAGTGTTGAAAGAAAAACTATCATCAAATCCGTATTTAAAAAAGTAGGCCAAAATAGATGAAAAATAGAAGATTATGCATTAAAATATTAAAATGGGCCTGTAATGGTTGAAAATCCAAAGTGGGATAACAAAATTTTTTTACTAAAAATTTCAAATATTCTCAACTTGTATTATTATATAATTATGAAAAAAAATTAAGTTGAAGTGATTCACAATTACATATTAGATTAGTAACTTCAAGATTTGAATTTCTTTTCAAGTGCCCAAACTTGGCAAATCCTCCCAGAAACAGAGAAAAAACCTTATTAATGGACCAAAAGCACATTATTTAGTGAATCTTTCAATTCTCAGCTTAGATAAAGTAGCTTCATTCAGTCAAACAAAGATTATTAGTTGTAAACAAATTGAGTTAATAATTTTGATGCATCACATGAACAATACAGAACAATCAGCAGGCCAAAACAAACAAACAAAAAGCTCTAGTTCTTATCCTTTGTATTGAATAACATCAGCCATCCATTTATTGGCACAAGCCTTTATGAAATGTATGAAGGTGAGGGGCGCAAATTGAGCCTTTTAACGAAGCATGCAAACAAGCTAGGAAGAAGCAAACAAATAAATAAGCCTCATACCTTCAGTTTCCAGTTGATTCTTTGTTGTTTCACTATAACTCTAGCGAGAGCCTAACATGAGAAAATCTGGGACATCTGGATAAAGAAATACACACAGCATGGAAAGAACAAATCTATCCTTGGTAGGGAAGATTTAGCAGCAAGAGAGAATCAATAACGTGTTACCGAAACGGAGGCTGCTTCGTCTATGGGCAAAACTTTCTGATTCACTTGTATCGAGTAGAAGAAAGTTGAATGAGTGAGTACTTATTGGAACTCTCTTGCAAGGAGGTAATCAGAAATATCGAACTAGAAAAATTGGCCTAACCGTATCGAAAATATAAATGGGGTGGGAGGAAGGAGGAAATCTATAAACATGAGATGATAATTCTAAATAATGTATAATTCAGTACAAAATCTAGAGCGGGTTAGGATGCTGAAAGATCAGGCAGGCATATAAGATTCTAGGATCAATTGGGCGGGAGAAGGCGATTTCACCTCGACGATCAAATATGTGAACTTCCACTGCTTATCCGCTTGATCCTTGAACATCTCAGTGTAAACTTTTCCAGCTCCATGGGGTCCACGAATATAAAAGTTCACCTGCGAATATAGTTGGCAAGGTATAAAGAAAATGAACTCTACAAAATGACTTGTTAATTTACAATGTAAAAGGGGAATTATTTAGCAACTCCTACAAAACAAATTATCATTACTAAAACAGTAAAAATTTATCACATTTTAAGACACAAATTACCTCTACTCGCTCAACACCGTCTTCATCAGTCCACACCCTATTAGGGATACGTTGGCGAGCAGCCCGATTCCTAGTTTCTTGCCCATAACCAGTTATAGGGGAACCAATTCTTACCCTAACCTGCAGGATAGAAAAACTAATCTAATAAAACATAAAGGCTCAGAGGATAGCTTGAACACAGAAATAAGTAAACCAATTTGTTGAGTAGACTCCAAAATGCTTGATTTTATTCAAGTAAAACGCAGAAACTTCAAAATGGTTCTCTTTGTTCTCTCGGTCGGTCATTTCTAGCTTGGTTTTCTGCATATGTAATTGCCTTGGTTGTTTTCGTTTCATTTAGTATATTTGTTCTCATGGACATGTTTATCCTAATTGAATTTTGTTTCTTTAACAAGAAGCCAAGAACCCCAAGGGAGTGTTTAAGTGTGCCAAAAGGTCAAGGTTAATTTCACTAACCTGGCTGTCATCTTGAATCCTTTTAAGAGCCTTGCCGAAGATCTTATACCTAAACAAAAGAATTAGCATATCAGAGTCTCTAGTTAGAGGAAATCACAAGGCATAAGTCATGATTATAAGCAAAACTTCGCAATATTAATCAATTGTAAGTTGATTTTTACTCTTTTGGTTGAAATATAAGCTCCTTAAAAACTGCATATCCAGCAGCTGCTGCAACTCCAAGCCCTGCAAGGATGATAAAACTGTAGGATGCTCCCTCTGCAAATGTAACAGGCTTCTCTGGTATATTATATGTGGGAGCATCAAATGGATCCTCCACTGTCGATATTTCTTTTTTTCTCTGATAATAAGATCAAGGAAGAAAACCAGGTTGATGAACTCGTAGGTGATCAAGATAAAGCAGCAGCCATATTGGGCCAATGCAAATAAATGAGAAGAAATTTAAAACTTATATCATCATGTCAGCTTTAATTTTAACCACCAACACCTCAATGAGATACCTAGTAAACGTCAATTCTGGTAACATTTTTTTTTGTTCGTGTTGCCTCCTTTATCGTATCACTCCTCTCTAGTTGTTTATTTAACTCTCTTAATGGAAGCTGCCTTCATATAAATATATTACAGACATGCATTCAACAATGTTTAACAACAAATTGTAGACAGGCTAACTTAAATTTTCCTTACAAATAATGTTGATATTCTAATTATTCCCATGTCCTTGTTTAATTGGATCTAAGATTTATTAGAGATGGTCATTTTTTTCTCAGTTGACATGTTAAGGATGGCTAGTTGTCATCTTCATAATTATTTGAGGATGCAATACAAGCACCACATTTAAATCCAGTCAAAGTTCCTTCTACTAAAACTCCGTACTAATGAACCTGAAATCTAGACTCCTTATTACATGTTAAAGAAACTCAAATTGAACACAAACCTCAGATGCGGTTTGCCCACGTTGTTCTGAAGATTTTGACGACATAAATCTAGCGAAGCACGGCACTCCAGCATTTGTATCACAACTCCTAGCGACAGCTAATGGTGACAATTTGACAATTGATCCCCTTGCACCCTGCCGTCTAGATAAAACAGCCATACCTACAAAAAAAAAAAATATATACATATATAACATGGAATTGCAAGAGACAGACCCACCCCCCGTGAGAGCGAGAGCAAGAGACAGACCCACCCCCCGTGAGAGCGAGAGCAAGAGAAAGGGACCCAATGACAGGAGACTCGATTAATTTCTCTCAGCATCAAGCCCCAAGAAACTCATTTTCCACATGTTAATCCATAAGCATAATTAGACAATTCTAAAATCCCTTGAAACTCCTCCGTTTTTCATCGCCCATGCATAATAGCTTCATATGAGATATCAAAGTAACCAGATCAAATATGTCAAATCCATGCATACAATGTGAAAACTTAAACTAAATAGTCAATCTTTCGAAGGAAATTTTTTAAGCAAGATATGACCCACTGTCCAGGAGCAATTTTGAAGGATATAGACTTAAGTTGCACCAGTAACCGTTCAATCATCCAAAAAAATTAAAAAGAGTTCTCATTCTGAAAACTCACCCCCACCCCTGCAGTAAAAAAAAAAAATAATAACAAAAAACATGGCAGAATAACCAAGTTCAAGAAAAATAAATGGAAATAAAACCAACCAGTAGCTCCAAGTGTATCCTGCAAAGTCAATGAATTAATAAAATCAGACATTCTGTGAATGCTAAAAAAATGCCAATTAAAAATCAAAGTATGCCATAAAGGAGTTATTGCACCTTCGGTATATCGCACACGTACCCAGCAGATTGTTTGGCAACGCCTGACTTCAGTGGACCAAGCAGCTGCATCAATTATACATCTTAATTAGAAATCTCAAATTCGAGAACCTTCTGCATTGGCTAAGAATCCTGGTAATTAATGTCATATCATCATTAGAAAGAGAGAAGTTCTTTGAGCAATACCCACTTCTATCTTAGAGTTCAATACATATTTTCTTCTATTCTTTTCCAAGATGTTTGAAGAGCTAATAAGTCAAGTAGAGCAGGATCTTTTTCTCTTTTTTTAATAAACAAAGAGTTGGGGAGTTTCCGAAGAACTGCTCCTATTAGGGTTGATATCGGCAGGGAAGTTGTTTCAAACAAGAGCTCTGAGGAGAAGCAACAAAAGATAAATTATCCCAAATGCTTGAGGGTTGCTTATAAATGCTTCGAAACCTTCTCATATTCCTCTCTAGCCAACCCTCGCAATAAAATCACTTCCGTGATGGTGGACTCAAAGCTTGTGAAGGCTTTACTTTGTACGATCTCATTTGTACAAAAGCTCCAAAAAAAAAAAAAAAAAAAAAAAAAAAAAGCTGTCCAAAAGAACACTTTGCATTTTTTTCCTTTAGGAAATAGAAGTAACACCTTGGCTTATTAGTTTAGTTATTAGAGTATTTACCTATCCAACGAATTTGACAAGCATTTTAGGAAGAAAAAGAGCTGAAAAGAGTTGACCAAAACGGGATTTATAACACCCCTCTACTTCAAACTTTCTTAAGTTCATTCTAAAGTTAAAATTCCAAGAGCCTTTGAGTTGGTTCAAACACTGTCAAACAGAAAAGATTTTACTACCTAATAGCACAGACAGATAAGGCAAAAGGTTTACATATTGAAATTGATATTGAAAGAAAGAAGATACATATTGATCATGTAACCGTAAAAGGTAACAGGAGATGCATATA